GTATTGAGTATATAAATAAATCATTAATAAAACCAAATGATGCATTGCCCAGAAAGTGCAGGGGTTGAGGTTTGGGTCGGGTTTGGGTCCCCATGGACACACAGAGCTGGTGACACCCCCACACCCTCTGTCTGTGCCAAACCCGCCCCCTCCCCGCTGACAGGCACCAACTTTGTGCTCTTTTCCCAAAAATTGTGTTCCCCTGCCCCCATCCAGCCTGGCCCCTCACATGGCACACCYTRTCCTGCTCATCCCAGACCAGCACSCTGCTCCAGCCCTTCCCAGGGCCASGGAWAATGAAAGATTCAAAAACAATATTTGTTTTGGCAGAGTTACATTTAGAATGAAATAGATGCCCTTGACCAGGGAAGAGACTGAATTTTGCAGCAGGTCCTTTTTTTGTCCACGCAAACAGGCTCTGCAGCCAATCCAAGGCAAATGAGAATATTTGTGAAGGACTCTCTTGTATTTCCTGCACGGGATTTGCTGCAGAACTGCAGCCACACTGGTTGTACTGTTTGAGGCCAGGATGAAAAATGCAGATTCCATCCCATGTATCAATCCCAAATGGAAAAGGGCCCCAGGCTTCAGGATTGTCACAGATCACTTCCATGCACGCTGAGTTTGCAGCGTAATGAGCTCAGACTGGAGGCATCTTTAACAGAAAACCAATTCATTGGCGTGGTGGGGACGGTTTTAGATGTGTGCCCAAATTTCCTGGTTTTTGGAATTAGAGGAATTAGTCATCAGAGCGGGACGAGAAAGATCTGGCCCTTAAAAATTTCCTTTTAATTTTTTTAAGCTATTCTCAAGCACCAGGAGCCTTTTTCAGTGGCATTTGGTATTTTCTGTGTCAGTGGAATTGATGTTGGTAGGACACATCACTTTCCCAAGTCATGGACAAGGAGTGGTGATTTGAAACTATTGTTTCTATTAACATCTATTATTATTTCTGTCATTTTTATTATTATCATTACTATTAGGATCTTTAAGATCCCTTTCACCCCAAACCACTCTGCTTCTATGATTATTTCTTCTAGAAAAATCACAGATTGGTGCTTTCAATCTTTTTTCCCACTACTCTAAATTTATATTATCTATAAATATTGTGTTGCACCCAGCTCCAAGAGATTTGGTATTAACGTGGTCATTTATTAGGAAAGGTGGTGTTGCAAAGCTGCTCCCTTAAAGAAAATGCAAAAATGAGTAAACCCTTAGAAAATTCCTTAAAAACTTAAAGCACAGTATTCCCCTTAAGATTTAGGGACTATTTCAAGAATAATTTCCCAACATGAATCTTACAGGAATGCAAAAATCCTCCAAGAATTGCGTTTGCATGTTTAATTGTRATTGCTTTTATATTCTTGGAGAGAAGGCACAGAAATGTGGTTCAAGGGCTGCTGTGGGAGGGTCTGAGCCCCCCACCCGGCTCGAAAAACGACGGGAAATGTTCCTGCAGCCCCTCCCCGACCGTGAGAGGGGATTTGGGATGTGCTGGGGTGCAAATGCAGCTTCTCCAGGGCCCGGCTGTGGGCTGGGGTCAAATAACGGGTGACAAACACACCCGGGACTGTGCCTGGGAACGGGGACATTCCTGCCACTTCTCGTTTTTTCCTTTATTCTTTTCTCCTTTATTTTTATACCTTTTT